AATAGAATGGATCTCCAGAAAAGGCAGACATTCAGTTGCTGAATGGAAGATATGTTTCCTTTCCTATTCAAAAGCTGCCCTTCTGACTAATTAAAGAAATAAGTCAAAACAGTTCCCAAGAAGAACCCATATGTCAGCCAAAGAATCAAATATTTTGAACTATTCGGTCCATTTTTCAATAGAGATTAAGAACAGAGGAAAATAAAAGAGACAGTGAAGAAATAAATCAGAATCCAAACTGAAATAAACATAGAAATCTCTAATTATAATGTAAGGGGAAAATACGTAAGCCTAGAACTCTGCTGAAGCCAAAATCCATTATGTATATGTCTAAGGTGTTTACCACATTTCTAACATATGCCATCAGCTTTCGATCGAAGACAAGCATAAGCATTGAAAGGGAAAATGAGACTTAAAAAGTCATGCAATGCTAAGAATAATGGTTGTGAATAGGAGGCTTTGGCATAATACAAATAATTCTTTAATACAGTATGCTTCAAAAACACTGGGTAAAAAAACCAAAAACAAAACAAAAAACTGTGTATACTTGGAGACGTCAATGCTTTGGGGGAATGGACTTCATAAACTACAAAGCACTATTCAAATGTAGGCTATTTATCATTACTCAAAAGAAGTGCAATTACCACTCATCCACTGCTGGGTGGCAAACGGTATTAACCGTGTCCTACCACCTATTCCAAGCCTACAATGACAAAAGTAGTTAGAAAAAACAGAAGATTGGGAAGGAATTATTTCTTCTCTTAAATCCACATTACCCGCTTGGGAACTGAGTTCCTTCAGGCTCAAGTAGTAGAAATGAGAGTCATCCAGAAGCAGAATTCAGTCTCAACTTGGCTGTCTGGCTTCAAGGATCAAATAAAAATATGTATTTATGAAAGTGGAACAGCTGCTCAGCTAGTTTTGGATGCCCACTTTTGAGTCCTCAGTATGTTTCATTCTTCTTAGTCTATTACTCCTGTAGTCTCTGAGAAGTATCTGACTAAAGAGGAAAGATATACAGAGGGTTTGAGTTCTAAGTCTCCAGGAGACAAAAGAATTACTTCCTCCTTATAACCCATCAGAGCAGATGAAGCAGACACCATCACAATGTTTCAGTCTGTTCTATATTCAGAAATGGTTAGAAGTTCCTCACTATTAGTTCATTCAACAAACATTTGCTGATGCTGTGCCACAGTTGATATTGTGGGTTTCAAAATGAGTAAGACAAACCACACATCCAAGGGTATTTCAAAAAGTTTGTGGGGCCGACCCCGTGGCGCACTCGGGAGAGTGCAGCGCTGGGAGCGCAGCGCCGCGGGTTCGGATCTTACATACGAATGGCCGGTGTGCTCACTGGCTGAGCACCGGTCACGAAAAAGACAAAAAAAAAAAATTTGTGGAAAAATAGAATTAGAAGATAATACCAATCTTTCCATGAAATTTTTGAAGTACCCTCAAATACATTATAGAAGACACACACGAATCCATAAATAAAGCTTCTCATTTTGTAGATAATATTAATTTCCTTCACTCTTCTTTTTTACCTTAAAGCTCTACCTTCTAGCACACCATCTTACAGAGGATAAGTAAACAAATAATTCTGTTACAGAGCAATTTGCAATATGAAAAAATATATGATATGATATATGACATGGGAGTGACAAGAGTAGGTGGTATGTTAGCTGGGTCTTGGGCAGTAGTTGGCCTGGTAGACATTGGACCCTATAGAGTAATAGGAGAAACTCACAGTCCAATGGATTTGTATTTCAAGAAACGGAATTAAGATTTCTTCTGAGGGGCCGGCCCGGTGGCGCACTGCTACAGTGCGCCGCTTGGGAGTGCGGTGGCGCT